AAATCATAAGCAAATAAAAAGGTTATGGTTTAAGCTCCTAAATTTTAGGGTGATTTGTTACATAGCAATTAAAAACTAAACAGAAAGTCTCTCTGTTTAATTTCTGTTTTGGTTATCTACTGCTACATAACAAACCATTCTCAAACTTAAGAAGCATGAAACAACACAATCATCTATTTGGTCATATTCTAGATCTGGGCAGGGCTTGGAAGAGACAGCTTAACTGGGTCTGGAGGATTCACTTCCAAGAAGGCTCACTTACATGGCTGGCAAGCTGGTGCTGGCTGTTGGCTAGGAGCTCAGCTAGATGGGTCCTCCTCTAATTGTCCTCTCCCCATCCCTAGGTGGGGCATCTCACAGCAGAGAGGCTGAGTTCCAAAAGGAAGGATCCCAAAAGAGAGTGTTCTGAAAGGACAAGCCCCCCCATGCAAACGCTTACCAAGTTTCTTCTCACATCACATGGCCAAGCCCAGAATCAATGTGGGCCTCAAGAGCGTGAACACCAGGAGGTTCACGGCAGGCCACCAGAGTAACCCTAACCCCAGGTGTATTCAGTTGTAAAAATGCATCAAGCTGTACACCTAAGATTTGCCCACTTTAATGTATGTATATTAAACTTCAATAAAGTCTCCCCCTTCCCCAAAGAAAGACAGCCAAATTATTAATAGTCCTCCACTACAAAATACAACAGGCTCGTTAAGTGCATTCCAAATGACTTCTTATGGGGTTAAGATGAAATGCAGACTATCAATAGAGAAAACTATTCTTCCTTTTCTAATTTTATAGAAATATTAGAGAGAGCTATTTCCTAAAATTTTATTTTTAAGGCACTATGAAATAAAGAGTTAAAAAGATTTCCAAGTGGCAATACTTATCCATTCACAGGTTCTTGAAGCTAAGTAAGCCGTGTCACTAACAGCTAGAATCCACTAGTGAGTGCGTTAATAAACATTGACTGACACATCCATTCACTCATATACTTACTGAGTGCCCACCATGGCCCACCCAGGCGCTGTGCTAGGTGCGGGGAGATTCAAGTTCCAACGAACACACCCTCTAGAAAGGGAGTCAGGTGTTAAGCACAAATTGCGGCAGGAGCAGAGTCAGGGGCTTCTGAATGGAGCTGTGAAGAAAGGAATGACAATTCCTATCTAGGTGAAGAAAGAGGAAAAAGCAATTGAGGCAGAAGCAACAGCAAGGTACAAAGGCACAGAGGCAAGGCAGCATGACTCTGAGGCAACTGTGAGTAGCTCAGCTTGGCTGAAACAGGAGTTGTGGGGTGGGGAGGCAAGGGAATGAAATGCCAAGAGCCAGCAGGTAAGCTGGGGCCGTAACAGGGGGAGCCTTGGATGCTGGGGAGTCCCTGCAGGACTTTAAAGTACGACAGAGAGAACACAATGTATTTTAGGTCTCACTGGCATAATGAACTACGATGACTAGAGGTGGAGAGACAGCTGGACAGCCGTTGCAGCAAGCTGGAGAGAAGAACAAAGGGCCTGAAAGAGATATTACAGAGTAATCTACAGTAGTGCTACTCAAAGTGGGGGCCCCAGAAGCAGCATCAGCAACACCTGAGAGTGTATTAAAAATGCAAATGAGGGGCCAGCCTAGTGGTGTAGCAGTTCACAGGCTCTGCTTTGGTGGCCCGGGGTTTGTAGTTTCAGATCACGAGCACAGACCTACACACCCTACTCATCAAACCATGCTGTGGCAGCGTCCCACATACAAAATAGAGGAAGACTGGCACAGATGTTAGCTCAGCAACAATCCTCCAGGCCCCACTCCAAATCTACTGAATCAGAATCTCAGAACTGGGTAGAGCCCAATACTGTGTCCTCCAGGTGATTCTGATGTATATTTAAGTCTGGGAACCACTTATCCACAGGACTGTACGATGGACTGCACGTGAGAGGTAAGAGAGAGTGAAAAGCTGACAATGACTCCTAAGTTTCTGGCTTGAACAGTGGGGCAGACTGTGATACCACCATTCACTGAGAGAAAGGATAGTGGAGGAGAAGCAGGTCTGGAGAGAAGGGACTTAGACTTTCTGAGGCAGGCACATCCTCCCCACATTTTACGTATAGGGAAACTGAAATCCAGAAACATGAAATGACATACCAGGGGCCAGCCTGGTGGCGCAAGCAGTTAAGCGTGCATGCTCCGATGTGGCGGCCCGGGGTTCGCCTGTTCGGATCCCAGGCGCGCACCAACGCACTGCGTGGCAAGCCGTGCTGTGGTGGCGTCCCATATAAAGTGGAGGAAGATGGGCACGGATGTTAGCCCAGGACCAGTCTTCCTCAGCAAAAACAGGAGGATTGGCAGATGTTAGCTCAGGGCTGATCTTCCTCACCAAAAAAAAAAAAAGAAAAAGAAAAAAAATGACATACCAGGACCATACTTCTTCCTAGTTTCATTCTGTTCAATGTAAATATATCTTGTAGCTCAAGACCATCAGATGAACCAATATTTATGGACATAGGAACCCAAGACCAGTCTATAGGAAATAGTTTTCTTTTGCAGCTTATGAAAATACTGCTTCATATGGAGCACTGTGTTGCTAACAGAACTTCTCAATCATTTATGGAATTAGGAGAATGTGTTGGAACTGAAATAGTATGTTCTAGGAGGACTAACATCTCAAACATTCCACTTGTGGTACCACAAAATATGCCTATGAGCTTAAGATGGGTATTTGCAGAACTGCCACATTTTGTTGAAAAGTAAAGCTGTGAAGGCTTTTCTGATTCTGCCTCTAAAGCTACATTATGGCATAAGCTTGTTTAACCTGTTCTATACTCTGCTCAAATCAGGAGACCTGGATTCTGATCCCAGCAGTGCCACTAACTAGCAGTGGACCTTGACCTAGTCAATTTACCTCTCTGGAGTTCAGCTTCCTTCCCTATAAAATAAAGGCATTGGACTAGATGAGCACTTACATCCTCCAGCTTTCACATTTATTATCTCTGAGGATCAAGCAATGGGATTTGTTTTCTAAGTGCTTCCTTACAATAATGACTTTAAGATGTCATCATTATCAAGAAAGGGCTTGGGCTTAGGAATTCTGGGCTACAGCTTGTCATAGCCATTGGTGTCAGGGTTTAGTTCAGCATGAACAGGATGATTCCTGGTACAAGAGGACATAGATAAAGAGTGGCCTCGTCTCCCAGAATTAATGCTAATTAATTTAAATAATGCTAAAATAATGCTTAGGTGAGAGTAATGCAACCAAAATTTCAAACTTTCAAAAAACGCTACTTTTTAAAAAAACCACCAAATATTTCATTGGCTTGATAAACCTACTCATAATGCTTTCTCTGGATGTCACACTTTTCCCTTCTCCCAGTGATTCAGCTATGAAACTACAAAATGTCAGCACAGTGAACCTCTCCTTTGGAAAGACAGTACAGCTTACTAGTCGAAAGAACTGACTTTTGACACATTAGGTTAGAAGTTCAGCTCCATCACTTATCACTTACGGCTAAGTGACTTTGGGATGGAGATCTACCTCTTTCAGCCTCAGAGAGGCTTTGAGAAAGGTGAAGAGGTCAACAGTATCAAATACTGCTAAGAAGTCAAGGGAGATGAGGTCTAAAAAATGTCCTGTGGATTCAGCAACATGGTAGTCTTCAATAACTTTAGTGAAAGCTATTTCAGAAGAATGATGGGACTGGCTAAATATGCTGAAGAGTAAGTGGGAGATACGGAAACGGGAACTGCACGTAGAGACCATCCACAGTCACTTAATGACAGGGATATGTTCTGAGAAATGCGTCGTTAGGCAATTTTGTTGTTGTGCGAACATCCTAGAGTGTACTTACACAAACCTAGATCGTACAGCCTACTGCACACCTAGGCTATATGGTACTAGTCTTACGGGACCACTGTCAGATATGTGGTCCATTGCTGACCGAAATGTTGTTCACCATGCAGTGCATGATTTAATCAACAAAGGAAGGAGAGATACAACAGTAGTAGCTGCACGATGAGACTGAGAGTGAGGTGTTTTTTGTTGGTTAGTTGGCTGGTTTTAAGTTGGAGAAGATTTGTGCAAGCTGAAAACCCAATGAGAAAGACACAGATGAGAGAAAGAGGCTGCCTACACGAGGGAGAAGGGGGAAGGAGGGAAGCAAAGCTCCTGGCAAGAAGGGAGAAATGAGGTAGGAGGAATGAGCCTCAGATAAGAGGAGGGACAGCCCTTTATTATAAAATGAGGGAATTATAAAAGGAGGAATAAAATATGTATAAATACAGCAGATTTCTACATTCGGCACTGGAAAGATGAGGACTCCCATATGACGGCTATGTTCTCTACAGTGGAAGAGGAGAGGCCTTCAGCTGAACGTGGAGCCACAGAAAAGAGGTGAGAAGGTTTCAAATAATCTTTGTGAAGAACAGGGCAAAGAAATGATCACAGAAACAGTAAACTGCTAGATAGTTCTGAGGGTCCATTTGAGGTGTGTGATCATGAAATTACAGTGGAACGTGCCCTGTTGTACTACAGATCACTCCTGTAGGTGGAGATTAATGAAAATATAATATCCTTTTGCATCATTCCTTTCCTCCTTACCTACCAGTGGAACCTGGAACAGGTCCCCTCCAACATTCTCATTCCCTGGAATCATTCATCAGTGTTACAGGAGAAGGAGTAAAACTGCATTTTTCTACACTAAATGTTTTATGACTGGGAACATCTAGGAAAGGATTAAAAGTTTTCTAAAGATTCGAAGCCAGTGCTCAAGCCCAAACTATTAATTGCCCATTGGAATAATTTACCTTTAGAAAAACAACTTCTGACAAGTAACCAGTTATTATACCAGGATTCCCTTTCTAAGCAGAAATATACAGAAACAAGTAGTAAATGGAAATCTCTACCTTGACGTGTGTGAATTATTATTCTTAAATCAGAAAGCACAAATATTCTTTTCTTTGAAAATCAACTGTATAGAATTATGATTTCTCAGGTCAAAGTACATGCTTATTTCTTGATTATGAGAACTCACTTATGTGATGCTTCCCAGGCTTCCTCTTCTTCTAGAAGATCTCTTATGATGTCTGAACTGGAACTAAAAGGATATGTACATCAATATTGCCAGACAATAAAAAGACTGTATTGTTCCATTTATATAAAATTCTAGAAAACACAACCCAATCTATAGTGACAGAAAGCAAACCAGCAGACCAGTGGCTACCCACAGGGGGCAAGGGGTGGACAAGGAGGGATTACAAAGTGGCACAAGGAAACTTTGGGAGTGATGGAAAGGTTCATCATCTTGATTGTGGGGATGGTTTTATAGATGTATACATATGTCAAAACTCATCAAACTGTGTGCTTTAAATATGTGCAGTTTATTATACATCAATTTCAATAAAGCTGTAAAAAAAAAAAGCTTAATAAATTAGCAATAATAATGAAAAAAATCACTAAAGTTTAAATAAATCCCTCAACATAAAACCTGGATTCAAATGGAATAGTCATGAGTCTTTTCAACTTCCTATAGCGACCAAAGACCAACTCATGTTTTAAAAATTGCCTTCTAGTAATGAGATTCACAAGAGATATTAAATTCCTAAGTGGCTTTTAGTCCCTCTGTAACCAAAGTAAAGCATAATTTAATTAATTTGAACGTGTTAATAATGAAATTTGTTATAAGGCTTAAAGCGCTGTGTAATCTTTAGCCTATCTGTGCAGGACTGCAGGGTAAATAAGGTTACAGAGAGCATGTACTATTTCTTTAAAAGAAAAAACTATTTTAAGGCTTTTAGCATCTTGTTCTTTCCCAAATAAATAACTTTTTAAAAAGAAGATGTACACCAATATCAAAAAAGCATTTCTTTAGACACCCAAGACAGAATGTCATGGGCATCGCAGGGGACAACTCAGAAATAATCGTCTCTACCCCCGGGTGGAGAGGCTAAAACAAAGGAATAACTCTCTCTCAGGTGAGAAACAACAGGTTTAAAATGTTAGTGCCAATCATATTTCTAATCATATACTGATAACAAAAGTTAAAAAATTATAAAGATTTAAAGTGCCAATGAATTATTCTCAACCAATTATGGCAACTCACTTTGAAGCAACATTTGCGTATGATGCCTGAACAAAAAAGGCAATAACAGTCAATAAATACTGTTCTGTACAAATGTTTTATTCAAGGAATTTTGCCCCATATCCCCAAGACTCTCAGGGAGCTATAGTTAGGACACCCTCTGATATGGTTCATGTGTATAACAGCCTGTGGGTGGGGATTCCATCCACACGGCAGGCATAGTGACCCCCCGATACAGCTAGCACAGGGGTTCTCAGGCATTCCGGGACAAGAATCCTCATATGGTAGTAGCAATACTTTTCCCATTTGTGGCTTGAGAAAATACATAATAATAATGAAGTATTATAAATTTTTTTTATAATTTTTTGTTTATTGCAGTAACATTGGTTTATAACATTGTATAAATTTCAGGTGTACATCATTATACTTCTACTTCTGCATAGATTACATCATGTTCACCACCAAAATACTAATTACAACCCATGACCACACACATGTACCGAATTATCCCTTTCACCCTCCGCCCTCCCCCCTTCCCTTCTGGTAACCACCAATCCAATCTCTGTCCCTATGTGTTTGTTTATTGTTGTTATTATCTACTACCTAATGAAGGAAATCATACAGTATTTGACCTTCTCCCTCTGACTTATTTCACTTTGCATTATACCCTCAATGTCCATCCATGTTGTCACAAATGGTTGGATTTCGTCGTTTCTTATGGCTGAGTAGTATTCCATCGTGTATATATACCACATCTTCTTTATCCATTTGTCCCTTGATGGGCACTTAGGTTGCTTCCAAGTCTTGGCTATTGTGAATAATGCTGCAATGAACACAGGGGTGCATGTACCTTTACAAATTGGTGTTTTCAAGTTCTTTGGATAAATACCCAACAGTGGAATAGCTGGATCATATGGTAGTTCTATCCTTGATTTTTTGAGGAATCTCCATACTGTTTTCCATAGTGGCTGCACCAGTTTGCACTCCCACCAGCAGTGTAGGAGAGTTCCCTTCTCTCCACATCCTCTCCAACACATGTTGTTTCCTGTCTTGTTAATTATAGCCATTCTGACCCGCGTGAGGTGATATCTCATTGTAGTTTTGATTTGCATTTCCCTGATAGATAGTGATTTTGAACATCTTTTCATGTGTCTGTTGGCCATCTGTATATCTTCTTTGGAGAAATGTCTGTTCAAGTCTTTTGCTCATTTTTCAATTGGGTTGGTAGTTTTTTTGTTGTTGAGATGCATGAGTTCTTTATATATTTTGGAGATTAAGCCCTTATCAGATGTATGGTTTGCAAATATCTTCTCCCAATTGTTAGGTTGTCTTTTCGTTTTGTTGATGGTTTCCTTGGCTGTGCAGAAGCTTTTTAGTTTGATGTAGTCCCATTCGTTTATTTTTTCTATTGTTTCTCTTGCCCGGTCAGACATGGTGTTTGAAAAGATGTTGCTAAGACTGATGTCGAAGAGCGTTCTGCCTATGTTTTCTTCTAGAAGTTTCACAGTTTCAGGTCTTACATTCAAGTCTTTAATCCATTTGGAGTTAATTTTTGTGTATGGTGTAAGATAAGGGTCTACTTTCATTTTTTTGCACGTGGCTATCCAGTTTTCCCAACACCATTTGTTGAAGAGACTTTCTTTTCCCCATTGTATGTTCTTGGCTCCTTTGTCAAAGATTAGCTGTCCATAGATGTGTGGGTTTATTTCTGGGCTTTCGATTCTATTCCATTGATCTGTGTGAAGTATTATAAATTTAGTAATACTTTTAGTTTATACTTTATTCATTATAGCAACACACGCACACATTTAAAAAACAGTAGTACGTGTATTTGTGAGACACTCTTTATTACGTCTACAGAGAATTCTTGATGTGCTTGTGCTTTTGCAGACCCACTGCAATCCTTCCTTTGGACCCCTGTGTTGGGAACCACTGATTTGGCCTGGCAGCATACCTAAGCACCTACCACTCTCTTACAGGGAGGTTGACCCCCTGCTCAAATGCAAGTGCCCCTGAAAATAACACATTAATTTATCGTCAGTCATCTTCAGCTTACTGTAAACTGGCTTATAACAAGCTTTCCCATTAAACAGCTAGCTAAACGTGGTTTTTACTAGGAGCGAAGAGGGGAAAGCAGAGGGCCCTTAGGGAGAGCCAAGACAGATCTCACCAACGTTATTATTTTCCTAAGACACAGACACACACAGCCACTTGCTAGGGATGGCCTTAGACCCACTGCCACCCCATTCCCACAGAAGTGGTTCTAAACTTTTACTTTCACAAGATGCCAACTTTCGTTATTCCTTACTTTGGCGATAACTACTCCAACTTTATAAAGAAAACTGAAGCTGTTTTAATGTAACTTTTTCATTCCCTTTTCTCTACTCCAAGTTATATGGATACCACCATCCATTCTTCTTACGTGGATAGAAGCAGGGCAGTATTTCTTAACCTTTTTTCATTATTGTCCCTCCCCAAGAAGCCATTTTAGACTTTTTTCCCCTAACTGCCCCTCCATGAAATTTTAATACCACAAATATAATGTATATCTGTTTATGTATTGTGTATATATACATATATGTGCTTTATACATAAAGAGAGTAAGGTTTTTTGGCCACCCCCATCCCCAAGAACTAATTTCTACCTGCTAGGGGGCAAAACTACTCCTACTGAGAACATATGAGCTAGCAGGATGGGGGTTAGGGGGTGGTCGTGTGGCTCTGGGTCCTGGTAGGCGACACATAGCTAGAAAAATAGTAAAGTCAGCTTCTTGCTGACACTCTCCAACACACATACACAATTTTTTTTTTAAAGAGGAAGGTTGCAAAGCATCCCTACTATTCCAGCTGAGTAAGCAGGACGGCCAGGCCTGTCAACTAACCTAGTAGTCTGTGATCAATTTATCTAGCAGCTTTCAAATCACCAGTACAGATCACTGATTTGTTAAAGGAAAATATTTGCGGTACATTAATGACATAAATTTAAGAGGTTTTTGCTATGCTACCTCTGTGAAAACAGATGGTAGAGGAGGCTTACAAAAAGCGTATCTCAAAAGTTGCCTGCAATCTCCTCTTTCTCTGCAACTTCAATACCACTGACCAGCAAGACTGCACAGCTCCCCGATTTCCCTCAATTCTCATCGCCTTTCTTTCTATTTCAGCTCAGTCACTACCTGAATAAGCAAATCACTAAACTGAATGATACAAAAGTTTGGGAGGTTTGCAGTTTACCTAAAATGAAGTTGCAGGATTATCTGCTATATCTCCTGCTCCAATTCCAGTGACCACTGAGAAACTGAGAGTTGATACTAATACCATGAAAATACCAGACAGAACTGTTCATTCCTTTTTAAAGTAACGTACTTCCTACATTCTACCCAAAAGCCACATTCCTGAAATTAAACATACAGTTTCACAAACAGGATTTTACAAAGAGACTACTGGCCATAACAATCAGTGTTACTAAAATTATCACTCCCAGATCTCTTCCTTGTGGATACAAGTTAACTGTTATTTTTGAAGTCTCAGTCATTTTAATATGCCTTGGAGATAAAAATTCCTTTAACTTACTTTCAAGACACCTAAAAATCTTCCAAAGAAAAAGATAAATTACTCACACTAGTGTACCCAGGGTCAGAGCACGCACAAGCCTACAGAGCTCGAGCTTTTAAGTCTTGGACAAGGAACTTTTTCAGAGCAAACTTTAGCTTCTCTACTATTTGGGTTTGGAACATTCTGGTAGACCATGCTTTTGAGAACCTGGAGGAATATGAGGTCTGGTACAGGAAAGCTATAGCTCCCTACGGAAGGGTGTTCAAATTGTGCTCTCTGAAGTCTCCTTCAGTCCAGGCTAGAGTGGATAGTATTACATAGATTAAATACAGGTGAGAAAGATTCATAGGCAAAAAATATGAATCTTGAATTCTATGGAATTCCCAACCTCTGTTCAGGAAGATTTTTTTAGTAGGTCTATTGAGAACACCCACACTTAATTTTTCATACTATTTAGACTTTATT